TTAATCTTCGACTTTAAATGAAAATACAATGAACATTAGATAATGTTAAAACAGAAACTCACGTTGTTTTTTTAGTATTTTCAGATGTTAGGTCTATCAATGAGACTTGATATGCATTTACACTAGTACGAATGCTATTGACTTTGTCTTCAGCTAATCTTCTATGAAATTGATTTTCTTGAGATTTATGCTCATTTTTATTATCTTGATGTTCCAATGGTAATTGTTCTTCTTTCATTACTCGCATAAATGAGATTGATTGCTCATATCGATGAGTCTTCGCTAAGTCAAATATTAGAACTTTACATTCAGCAATTAATCGTTTTATTTGTTCTTTGTCTTTCTTTTTATTGTAAATAACAATGTCTGTCAAAAATTGTTTGCGTTTAGTTTCGAGAAGATATTTTTCATTTTCAAAGTATTCATCGAGAAGTTTATTTTGTTCGGCTACATGAACTTCAATCCGATGAATAAGTTTAGTACTCCATTGGATCAGCTTCTCAGATATATTTTTCTTTTGTTGCAACAATAACTCATAATGACGGTCGAATGAATAGTGAATTTCTTGTTCTGATTTCTTCATTTCACGTTATTAAACTAAAAAAATTATAATCAGATATTAGAGAAAATTGATTGACGTTCATCCAGAAATTCGTAATATTGTAAATGAATCTATATTTAGAGAAAAGAAAACTATATTAAATCTCTTTGTTTATATTTAATACTTTCTTGAAGGATATGTGTTCTTCACTCATCTCTGTCTATTTTCGACTTAGAGAAAAAAAGAAAACAACCAAAGTTAAGATATGGACGGACAAAGAAAAAAGAATCAAGTTTTTCAAATAAAATCTTGGTAAGTAAATATTTGACAGGACAAAACAATGATTATGACAACAGTTCTTTTTTTTCTTCTTCCTTTACACTGATAGGAACGTTGCTGTCTAGCAGCGATGGTCGTGCAAAGTTATATGACTTCTTAAAACTATCAGAAGAGAAAGATTTATTGAAGTATATAGAGTAGAATTTTGCATCAGCCTCCTCATGTCGTGACAAATATTTGTGATAACGGCTCTCTTGCATCACAGAACATGACAGGTAACACTATCGAAATGTTACAGAGGATACACGTTGGTGAGATCAATATATAAACCGGCATCCTCGGTATTTCATGTCGGATTTTTCCAATTGTTGGTCACCGACATTTTGTTCGTTTCGACGAGAGTCAGACGCGAACCATCAGAGAAACTCAGAGACGCTCAAGCTTGGTATACTTAATCTAGATTCTATCTATTTCATCAATCTTCTCGTCGAAGATAATGATTTTCTTCAGCATCTTTTCCTATCGACTTTTGTGATGATCGATGGTTTTCAGATTTTGAAATCATGGACACAGGTGTTTTTGCTTTTACAAAAAACGTTCCAAACAAAAGAAAATCATTTATAAAACTTGATTCATTATAGATGAAATCTATCATTGGCAATGATAATTATAACGGCAACCGTGAATATTCAAATTTGTTTTTGAGTTTTTATTATGAGATAGATGTCACATTTGTAACTGAAAAATCAAATGATTTGTATTTTTGATCACATTTTATGCTGCTTTCGAATTCAAGTATTATTCAAATAGGTTGATTCATACATCAATCTTTGGTAAATGGAGAAAAGCAAAAGACTTTTATGTTAAAATAATAAAAAGAAAAAAGCACATCGAATTTCTTTTACAGTTGATCAACTTTATATCGAACATCATCTTAAGTTGTTTCGTATATGTCATAAAATCTATAAATAAAAAAGGCACAATGAATTTCGAAATAATATCTTAACGAAGACTTTCATTCTGCGATCGAATTCACTATTTTTCATCAATAGACATATGAATAAATCATATAAGAATTCGAAAGGTCAAACATAAGATAAATCAATTTATATTTGCATTAATTGCTACAGAATGCTATTACATGCATATAACAATAGTCATTCAGTCTTGTTTTCTCATTTACTTTTGACCATTGATATTTTGCAGTTAGTTAATATATGCTTTTATAGAAAATTTAAATATGGTTTCAATGCTAGCAATCGAACTATGTTCTAAATGTCTAAAAAGTTAATATGTGACTATGTGTATTAATAGTGATCAACCATTATGTATCAAACATATTATTTAAACATTGAATAGAAGTAGCCACACAAATGGATTCTCTTCGACGGGATTCGATTCGGGAGGATTTGACATATCCACTATTACAAAGAATCGACGAATAAAAGTATGAATCGATCAAAAAAGATTTAAATACCAGAAGAAAAAGATCGAGCTGATCTTCAACAATTACTCTGTTAAAAGAAAAACAATATGAAGACGTCTGTCGAAAAGGCAGCAGATGAATTTTAAACACATGAAGTATTGAATAATCAAACCGAAGTTCGCAAATTGTTGAAAGTAACTGCGATGATTTGCATTGTAGAAAATAACAACATTTCCAGATGAAGAGTCGAAAAAACCTAGATTTAAATTTCAACTCATTTATTTCTTTTCAAAATAAGCCATTGTTGTCATCTTTGTTTTATCAAATTTGTGCAGTGAAAATAACTTGGAAACAAATAAAATTCCATTGTTAGTTAAATGACTACTACAAACAAAACAATCAGGAAGTAAAAGAAATTCTACTTGAAATGTTTTCGTTTGCTATTGTCAATAAATCAATTCCTTTACATTGATGAGACAGTATTTTTTGGTTGAAGACCTTTCATGATTTTAGTTTGTTGAAGAAAACAAAAAAAAAACAATATTATTCAATGGCTGAAAATACTAAAAGAATGACGTCAAGATTTAATTTGTTCGATAATGAATCAACTTCATAGGAAACTTTCTTTAATGTTATTTCAGTGTCTGATTTCTTTTATTATAAATCGTTGAATAAACATCAAAAGAAAAAATTTTTCTTTCTTTCAAGTTGAAACACAAAATTTAGTTGGTGTTTAATCAAAGAGCACAAAAAGAGGATTCATTTTGAATACTTCCTTTACTTATTCATAAGACGAAAATCATGCGATTTATGTTAGCTTTATTTTTCAGCATCTTCTTATCATATGTAAAAGGTTTGCTGATTTATTGCTTATCATTTCAGTCTTTCATAGTTTAAACAATATTTAGTTCAAGTTACGTCAATAACTAATTACTATTGTGATCAAAATAATGCAGCTGTCCAATTTACATTGACTTCATCATCTCATACCGCATGGCAACCAGTATTAAATTGTTCTTTACAACAATGTAATGCTAGCTCTAATAATAATGGTAGCTGTCGTTCATCATTAACACCTTGTTTCGATTAACGTACATTCAGTAATAATAGCTATTGTGCTCCCGGTATTCTATGTTCTATTTTTGGAACCATGTAACAATATTACTTATACTTGTACATCAAATACTTCTGTATGCATCGTCAACTCGTGCTGTTCACCACAAGCAGTATGTTTACCATTGTCATCGATGAATTTCTGTAAATTAGGTAAAACAACACACTACTCCGATTTTTGAGTGTATAGAAACCAATTAAATTGTTTTATCGGGATTGTAGCTGAGACTCAATTCGATTTTATAAATTCACGTTTAAATGGGTCTTAGCGTACAGTTATAAGAACCTAAAGAATCGATAAGCATAAATCTGAAGGACTAAATTAAGGATAAGAATGAAAATCGAAACCGATCGAAGTTTTTCATATATTAAACATATAAGAGATCAATGTGATACTGGAAATTGGCGAGTACGAAAGTAATCAATTCTGTTAAAGTTTTAAGATTTGTTTTTTCTTGTTTTAAGAAAGAGTTGTTAATAAAGCTTCCAGAGAAAGTAAAATGAGCAAATCATATAACTTGTTCTTTTTTTGTTTCAGAATTAATTGTATGTATGATTGTAGAAACATTCGGAAAAATTTCTTTAGAGATTTTTGTTTTCATTATTCAACCTAGAGATATCTTTTTTTATTGAAAATGTCAGATGAAATCAACAGTCTTAACATGGACAAAGACATTCTTTACATTAAATGCATGCATGTTTCTAATTTGAGACAATTTAATTAGGTCAGATCTTCATAGATTAAGACGTTAATGAAAACATTTATTTATTATGGTGTCACGGTCAAGAAACACAAGCCAGTTCAGGAAGAAAGACACGCAAATTGATAAAACTAAGAAGCAGTATCACAAGCAAAAAAGTCTTGGCATTTTTACAGTGACTTCCATGTCATTTTTTGTACTTCCAGTCGAAAAAAGGTATGAAATCATGGAATGAATCCGAAGACTTTGCAAACCGAAATACTATTATCAAGTTCTATCGATTTCTGATGTTTTTCTCGCAGTTTTTCAATCGAAGCCGGCAAAACCAGTTTCTTTCAGAAGCCTGAAATCATCAACCTAAGTATATATATGATTAAATGTGCTTTATTAGAAGAGAATTATCTCAGTTAACGGTATTCAGGAATACAGAAATAGAAGTTTCTCAATAATTGAATAACTTTTACAGGTAGTATAATAAATTGTTGGAGAATCAAAGAGTAATGGTAAATTCTTCTACAGTTCCATGATTTCTAACAGCTTAAGTAACATATTATCTAAGATACGTTTTGCAATTATGAATTCATTTTTGTACAGGATTCTGTTGTTCTTGATATGAATTCGACATATATCTTGAACACTGTTATCTTTTGAATTTGGGAATCACGAACTTATAAGGGAGTAGAGAAGAGGTTCCCATTGTCGATACACACTTTATATTCTACGATTATAATTGCCTGAGTTTGTATATAATCGAAAGATAGACAAAGCCATATGACTGCTAGAAAGTTGGAGCTTACTTTTAGTCTATAGAATGTCAAAACCTTTCGCGTTTCAAATAAAAAACAATTTTCATTTTACAATATTTTTAAAACAATTCACTTAGATATAGACAATCTTGTATGTTCGATGATACTCCCATTTTGAGTGTAAATATATTCAAATGGTTCTTTTAGGATGGCTTAACACTGGTAGTATGATTAATGCACGATACTGGCATAAAGCATCCGTATTAACAGATGGAAAAGTGTTAGTTACTGGTGGAATTGATAGTAGCTTTTATTTAAATAGTGCTGAATTGTATGATCCATCAACAGAAACTTGGACCACGACTGGTAGTATGACTAATGCACGAAGTGGATACACAGCATCTGTCTTAACAAATGGAAGTGTATTAGTTACTGGTGGATATAATGGTAATGTAGGCCTAAATACAGCTGAGTTGTATGATCCATCAGCAGGAACTTGGACAATAACAGCTACCATGAATAATGCAAGATATGACCATACAGAATCCATATTAACAAATGCAAAAGTATTAGTTGCTGGTGGAATCGGTAGTATTTTTCTGAATAGTTCAGAATTATATTAATTAGCTCAAACAAATGAACAATCAATAATCTTATGTTTATAAGAGCATGAAATCTTACATTCGAACACTAGTTCAATAAAGAGAAATATTGCATTTTAATAATGGTGAATAATTTCCTTCGATTTTTTTTTGTTAGATTGTCATACACTTGAGAATTCGATTCTAGAATATCAAAATATTTTTGTTGTTATATTTTGGTGTGTTACACTTATTGTGATGCAATAATAATCTCAGTTCATATAATGATTTTGATCTTCTGAAAACCTTTCATTAAATTTCCAATTCGTCTTTTATAAAAAAAAATTCAATTTTCAATGTATGAGTAATTAATGTCCTATCAATACTTTTAGGTACATTGGTAGATTGAACTTATACTTTGTTCATAGAAGTCTTCAAATGTCTTCTCGTCGTGGTAAGAAAAGATTTCAGTTTCTTGCTTCTAATGTGTGTAATAGCAAGTTATGTTTTCATATTCGACTCAGTGAAGTATCATCCAGTTCGTTTATTATTGCGTTCTCAGGAAAGTGCATGTACTTCTGATTGTATGTTGTGATAAATGAGCTAAATGTTGTATTTTTCCCATAAGTATTTGAATGAGCAGCTTGCAGCTCCATGTATCTTCTCAATCAAATGAACGAGAATTAGATGAAGAATTAAGCCAATGAGTAAGAATATTGTTGGCAGAGATAGAGCCAGTAACACAGAAAAAAAAGTTGAAAAAATTTCACATCACTATATGACCTCTGTTTTTTTTCAAAATCAGAAAAAATGGTTTAAACAAATAATCAAGATTGTATAACATATTTTGTTTTAACTGAACAATTTTCTTTTGTGTTCATAGCTCTCGATACTCTTGGTTTTTAATCATTACATTGATATAACTCAGTAATGGTTTGCATCTAGTTTCTCGTTGATTCAGCAATGATCCATCGAATTAAGTTTGAAAATCGAATATGACAATCATAATTATTATGGGAGATGTTTTGAATAGTTCCATGTCGATGCTAGAGCAATGGGTCGCAGAACTACTCTTCACAGGTGTGTGAATATTGATGTGAGTACTAGTCTCTTGTGTATCTTCACAAATATCCTAACTCACATCCACACCTCATTCGCGATGATGTTATCAGTGATATTGTATTGAACGGAATACATTGTGAATGTTTCACAGTAAGGATAGAAGAAGAAGCTGTTGAAATCTATGTTATCAGTAAAAGTGTATCGTCATCAAATGTTCTAGTTTTCAGTAAAGTTTTTTTTTTACAAAAACATATTGATTCAGAACAGAACTCAGTAATTAATTCGACAAAATGAAATTTTTCAAGTTTCAATGATAAAATATAACAATTTCTGAGCAACATTTTTCTACTATGTCGATTTCAACGAAATGGTTCCATTCAATGGATTCTATGTTCATGACACTTAGAATCATTTGAATTTTTTTTCAGAGGATGCATGAAAGATGACGTCTGCTAAAGATAATATTAAACCTACAATAAGAATCGACAACGAAAATAAACTGATTTCTTAAAAAATTCTATGCAATATTCTTTCCACACATTTCAAACAGTGAGCTTGGATATATCGAAGTCATGGATATTGCTTGAATTGTGCAAAAATTACTCAACATTCTTTCTTTTCAATACACTTCTGACACATCTTGTATTTTATCTTTCTGTCACTTGTTTATTCACAAAAGATAGATCGAATGTAATAAAATCTGGCAGTATTTACTGTTTGACTGCGATTTCCTGTAATTTTTTCTAATGAAAACGGTCGCTTCTGCTTGATACTGAGCTTAAAGATATTGATTTTTTCTGAAAATCGTTTAACTTTCACCTGCTTTTTTTACACTTTGACTAGCATCACATTATGTCGGCATGCTGAATTCTCCTGAAACGCCAGCATGGTATGAAAATGTCTACTAATCAAAATCCGATTTACAGTCTCTTCCTAATTTTCCATGGATCACAATTGGCAAGTCAATTCTTTTGTAATTAGCTCGTGTTCATTCAGAGCATAAGATACATTTATGATAAATATACTCTTAATTACCAAGGTTTTATTATCTTAGATATCATCGGAGAACTGTATGAACAAGCAGCGATAAAAGTATATTTTCATAGCAACAACTATTTTCATAGTAGTTTTTATGTTCATTTCGCTGTACTCACAGATAACGCATGATTTTTCTGTTTTAATGTGCGAATTACTGCTAAAACTAATCTAGTGTTTGCAACATAAAATAATTATGAAAAAATTTAAAATCATATTTTTTTTATTCTGGAATTTTACAATGTAAACAACAACAAAAATAATGAAATGTCCAATGTTTTAATTGATGAAATAAATATTCAAAAAAAGTCAACCTCTGAATTATGTCTCTTCTATCTTTCTTTCTCAATTATCCTCATAATGTTTTTCCACATGAATTGATCGAAGATCTGTTGACATGTGACGTGGAAATATCATGTAACATACCGGACATTTATCGTTCAATTTATCATCGTCAGTACCAGATGCTTTTGGATTATTATAATCATTATCACTTGTGGAAATAACAGAAGTATTCGCCGATGTTTGACTGTAAAATAAGTTTGAAAATTGTAAAAGGAGTTAAGTCAATAATTTGGCCACTTACTTTATTGGATTTGAAGTTGCATACGTTGAGTTCGAATATGAGTTAACGTCAAAGTCTCGTCTACCAAGCAACGATTCAGTTGCATCCTTTTGTATTAGTGGCTTTTCAAATTCTCCATTTGCTGTTTTATTTTGATTGAGTTTTTTATGATTCATTTGTTCTGACGGTTCTACTGGTATAACTTCAATAAATGGTGTGTCTCTTGTAGGATAGTTTACTTTAACTAATTCTACTTCTAAAGTTTTACATTTTTCAAGAAGTCGATTAATTTCTTCAGTATTCTTATTCTGTTCATAGATAAAACTGGTTTCAACGAACTGACCACGCAGATCCTCAAAGTATTTTCGTTGTTTTTCATAAGCGTGTCGAAGAAGACGTTGTTGTTGGGATGCATATTCTCTTATTTGAAGTATCAGACTGGCACTCCATTCCTCGATCGCACGATAGGCCTTTGTCTCTTGCTCAATTAATGAATTCCCATGACGTTGGAATATGGAATAAATTTCATCCCTAGGTCTTCCAGATCCATATGACGATGAATAAGTATAACAAGGATAATTCATAGCGATAAACGGCAATCTGAAAATTTTGAAAACCAATAATATTTTTAAACGAAGTTGGTTCTAAAAATCTCTGAGTAGTTTCATGAATTCAGAGTTTTGAAGAATAGAAGAAAAACAGACCGAGTCAAATATAAAAAAAGATGAGAAAAAAGCGAATCATCGTGCAGACGCCTGTTGTTAAAACAAAAAGAAAAGAATAGAAAAAAATGTCGGTATTTTTCTTTCTCCGTTCTCCATTCAATTATATACATGTCTATGTTGAGCAACCATGTTTAAGCAAGTTTTCATCATCAATAAAAACAGACAAGCTAAAAGGGAATCATTTTCATGTTGAATAACATGAAGTATTATAGAAAATGTTAAAAAGAGTTTCATATGGAACAAATTTTGACCGATAACGAAGCGAAGTAACGTGCTCCTATAGTAATAGAAAACGTGGGAACAATAGTCACTTAGTGATCTGATATAATTATTATCAAGTAAATCAAGACATAGGATTCATGAATAGCAAATACAAACTCTGATGCCGTCTACGATAGAAAAAAAAATGTTCAACAAGCAAAAGTTTAAAAGGCTTCATTTTTTGTCATAAATATTGGTTGAAATAAGCAGGTAAGCACTTTTCACTCAGCTTTTATCATATTAGGATAACATACGATGAGCTTTAGGAGCGAATTTTTCCACATAGTGTTATTAGTATCGGCTATCTTTTTCTATTGTGAATTAGATATAATACATAAGATATTTAGATAAAAAAAAAACTTAATATATAAATATAAAAGATCCGGAGGTAACGGTTATGCTTGCTATTTTTGATATGCATATGTAGAAAAGTAGTCGTAGTTGGAGACTTTCGAAGTATACGCAGTGGATATGTTTTCTTCTCTTGACAGTATTCACTTCCTATGTTTATATTTTTAAATTCAAGTATTTCAATTATAGGATATGTGAAAGAAACATTGATTGCATGTTGTCAAGAAATCGAATTCTATATTGAAAAAACTCAGTTAATCAAGAAGTATCCCGTGTTACAAGTATCGAATTAGTTTTGGGGATTGACCGCTTTCAATGATCGGTAAGTAATATATCGAAACAGAAGAATCCAATTTTATCTGAGAAGAATAGCATTTTCTCGTTTTTCGTTGATTAAAAATATCTGATAGCATAATTCCACCTATAACCTATATATGTGCCTATTCACAAGGAACCTCATAATGCTGATAAAAATGCTTAAAGAGTTTCTGGCCACTCTACTGAACTTTCAATCTATTGCAAGATATCTCAAGAAAAATCGCAATAAGTTTCCATCTGAATTTCCTCCAACATTAGCTTTCATGATTCTTATGATATCCTAAAAGTGGAGTTACTGTGTGACAGTAATGTTTTTTTGCAAACGTGTTATCTGAGAAGGAAAAGATCTGTTTGCACTGAAACTTTCAGAGTATCATAAGGACTATCAGAACTATGGTTGAGGAAATTTTCAGGTCGATACTCGAAAAGAAAAGTTCTATTGCACTAACACTTTTAGAGCTTTTATCTTCACTATGAGCTATACCTATCAGCGTAATACAAGCTCAAAAGAAAACTATCAATTGAATGGGTTCAGTCGCCAGTAGTAAATGAAATATAAAAAATAAAATGAAAATAAATGTTTCCTAAAAACTATATTTTTATAGATCCTGAGTCAAACAGTTCTTGGACAATGTTTAAAATATTAAAAACTTATTAGTCAAGAATATTTTTTTTTCAATACATCTTATGTTGTAAACGGGCAAGAGCTACCTGATTCGCTAGTGGTGATCAATGAAACATAAGGAAGCAGTTGTAAACTGGATCGAAGTTTAGAGACATCTACATGTTGAGTTGATATTTCAGACAGATGCCACGGTTAAGTTCCGTATCAAATGGAAGTGACTAGTTTTATCCGAAAAAAATTACCAATAAACCTGGGTTAATAGGCAAAATATCGGTACTTTTGCCACGATGTGAATGGGATCGGTAATATCGGTCTAACTCGTCGATTTTTACCACATGGGATATCCATCAATAGAAAAAATAATAATCTCAATTTTGTATCTGTCAAGGATGTAAACCTCTTAAAAGGTCAACTTTCCAGATCGAAATGTCTTTCATTGTGAAATTACGTTATATATGTATATATATATATATATATATATATAGGTGGGCGCGATGGAAATGTCCATAATGATAGACAAGATAGAAAAAATCTCATATGAGAGAAAATAAAATAAAAAGTGAACGTGTTGTGAAAGAAAAATAAACGGAGTGGAACTTGATCACTCTGTAATCGTATCTCTAGGAATAGTAAATATAAACCATTCAGAGCAGTACTTTATTTCTATGCATTAATGACATCTTGCTTTTTCACCAGAAAGAAAAAAATGCCTTACGAAAATTGATATAGATTTGCTTATAAATAAAAACTAATGAGTTGATTCGAATGTCAGACGATATAACAGTAACAATAGAAAATCAATGAGATATTCTTTTCTTCCATGAGAAAATAACAGAAATACATGTAAACAAGCCAATACTTCGATATGAAACACCTGACATTAGTTCTTCAACTATCTTCAAAATGTTGATTGACATGTTGTGATCGTTCATAAGTTCCCATATTTGATGGAAAGATTATAAAACAAGCAGGACATTTATCCAAGATATCATCATGATTTATCATATTAGACTTTTGATTATCATGAATAAAAGACGAAGTTGTCGATGATTGTTGACTTCAAAAACAATATAAAGAAAATCTGAATATTAAATCATAATCATCTATACTCACTTTGTTTGATTAGAACTCGCAAATGTCGATATAGAAGATGTAGATGGATATAGATTTTTATTATTATCTATTCTAAAATCATCGTTAGTTGTTGATTTACTGTTAAATTTATGTTGGCTTAAGACATCTTGTTTGACTTCTATGGGTTGTTTTTGTTTTTGCATTTTAATAAATGGGATAAGCCGTTCTGGATATTCAAATAGACCTATTTCAAATTTTAAATCATGACATTGTTCAATCAATAGGCGAACTTCTTCTCTAGTCTTTTTCTCTTCATATATCAACGCTGTATCGAGAAATTCTTGACATTTAGCTTGAAGATAATTTAGTTGATATTTAGATTCTTGTTCAAGTAAAGCTTTTTGATTAACAACATTTTCTTGAATTTGACGTAGAAGATTATTTTCCCATTCAGTGATCTCATTAATCATCTGCTGTTTTTGATCATTCAATGCTTTCATATGACGTTCGAATAAATTGCGAATTTCAGTCTCTGATCGACATTGTCGAACTGATGAATAAAGGTGTGTATAATTTGACATGACGAAGGTGGCAATAGTAAATAAAAATCTAAAATGTGGAATATATATATACAAGATGTCCCGATAGTCGATCAGAAAGTTCAAGCAGTTTTATTGATTCTTTTATTACATTGTAATACCTTTGTGAAACTAATACAGTGAAAGATCTAGAACGTTGTGAAAGACCATCAAAAATAACAAAAGCAACAGTTGACAAAGGTCATGATGTTTGTGAAACACGCACTACAATCACGTATTCAAGTGGTTGCAACGGCTAGCTGAATTCCAAGAATAAACTGTATCTTGTAATGTTTTAATGAAAGATGTTCAGTCGTAATACGGTGCCTGGTTGTTCGTCGAATGGAGCAAGCTTTTACGACAACTCGAACACTATATCGTAGGTCATTTCTCACAACCCTCATAAGTTTCGTTGACTTTTTCTTGTGTAGTTGTTGACGATCTTTCGTAACGTTCTTGATCCTTCACTTGATATCTTTTCATCCAACTTGACTTGCAATTTTCGTTCCACAACCATAAGTAACTCAAATTTGTTAATTGAAAAAATCATTTTGATTATACTAATGTTTATAAGCACATACATTTTATCTGTAAATATACAGAACAAAACTTTAAAGAACATACATATTATTAATAAATAAATTATGTCTGTTGAATTTTGTAAGAGAAATTTACCGTGACTTTTCTGACGAAATTTTCGGATACTCTCTATACATAAATTGTTTTGATAAAACGTGCTTCTCATCCTATACAAACATCGTTTTAAGTAAAAGAAAAAAAGTTGACATGAACCCATGCAAAAAAAAACTTCCAATCACATGTTGGCAAGTAAATACTTACAAGAACAGAACATAATTACTTCGTTAATATGCTTTTTTTCTTCTTTTCAACACATAAGCACATATGAAAGAAGTTCTGTATGATCTCCATTTATTTCCAGAGATCACAATCATACCGGTGATAATGATTGTTGTAGCTTTGATTATAAACGGTGATGTTGTTTTCTTCTGATTATAATTCAAAATCAATTAGATATGCTTTTGAAGTAGAAAATTTTATTCTTAGCATTTCTAGTACATAGACATATGCAAATAATATAAAATATTCATCATCTTTGAAATTCATAAGAATAAAAAAATATTGACTAAAGTTCAAAAGATTTTCAAGTCGGAAATAGAACTTTTGTTTTGCTAATCAACTTAATAATGTTCGTTGACATGTAGATTTCGATTATGTGCAGTCATACTCTCTGAAAATATCATAAAACATATAGGACATTTTCCGAGTAACTCATTATCACCGAAGACATTGTTTTTCAATTTAGACTTGTTTATGATCGATTGATTCTCATTATTCATAGGTTTTGTAATTAATATTGGTGTACTGCAAAAAGAAATCAGTTCGAAATGCATACAATCAAGTGATATATTGATAGAGAAACTCACTTTATTGATTCTGTATTTGTGGATGTTACTTTTGGCGGTCCGTTTTCATTCACATCAGTATTATTGATCATAGTTTTCTTGTCATCATTGAATTCTTTCTTTGGAGATTGTTCATCTTCGGTCTTATATTCATTGTGTTCATCTACATTTGGTTGTATTAATTGTTCTTCTGTTACCAATTGTATCGTTGCAATGGGACGATTAATATAAGTTAGTGTAGCTAATTCAAATTTTAAAGTATTAAGTTGACTTAGCAATTGATTAATTTGTTCGTTATCTTGTTTCTGCTCATATATCAGAGCTTGTTCAACGATACGATCACGTATAATGTGAAGATAACACACTTTCTTTTCATATACTTCTTCGAGAAGTTTTCTTTGCTGAGTAACATACTCTTGAATTTGCGACATAAGTGTACTGCTCCATTTTGTAATCTCATCAACTATCTTCCATTTTTGATTGCACAACCTGCCGATATGATGACTGAATGAATGACGAATTTCTGTTTCCAATGGTTTCATTTCTAATGTCTCGTCGAAAAATTCTTGGTCCAACATACAGAAATTGATTCAAATCACTAAAAATCTAAAACTTCTTTCAGATCAATATGCAGTAATAAAAAGAAAACTTCCAAAAGCCTTTTTTTTTTCGCGTAACAAATATTTGCTTCTAAAGTAAATGTGTTCTTCTACTCACATCTATTCACTGTGATCTAGAGGAAAAAAAGAACGAGTCACTCAAAAAACATGTTGGCAAACCAATAGTTGGAAGAATAAAAATGACTACTTCATCAACAGCGTTTTTTTTTTCTTCCATTCTTCTTTCAAACACATGTGCAGATCGGGTGAGTATTAGGTATAGTAAAAAATTGTTACATATTACTCTTGAATTAGTACATAATGAACTATAGAGATGATTTTCAATGCAAAATCAATGAAAATTTTCCAATGATATGACGAGAAATTTGATCAAATTAAATCGAAGAAAAAGTTTTTTTTCTATGTAAAATCATCATTTGTTCCTATTTAATCCCACCTGTATACGTCTGTCATGCAAGATGTGGTTTTTTTGTTCTCTATGTAATAACTTATGTTGTACTTTTTTTCGCACTACCGCCAGTAAACAACGAAACTCATAAGTACTGATGATATACCAGAAGTAGATTGCACGAATGGGCTACTCTGAGTCATTCATTCAAAAAAAGACTTAAATAGATAATTTAACAATAAAATCAGTATCAAAAGAAATTGATGGTTTCCTTTTTCCTTTAAGAAGAAAATTTCACCAACGGTCTTATTGCCTAAAAATGCAATTCATAGCAATCTCTTTTAAGAGACAGTCCATGAAAGGACTAAGCAATCGACGCAAGAATCAAAATTTAAATTTTTGATTTTTTACATAAATTAAAAAGACGATCACCTAAAACTACCAAACTCTGATTTTCAACTCATTTTGATGTTCTATATTAAAGTTAGACTAGATCGACTTTTTAACGCTACTTACCGACTTGTTCAGATAGTAGTGATAAATCGTCTTATAAGTGTCTATTAGGATTATACGTCAACAAGTTAGAGTGTTTTTTCATGTGATGTATCAAAAGATAGAACATGAAAAGCTAAGTAGAGTGAACTCTTTCAAACACTGTATATCATCTATTTAGTGAAGTTATATATGCTAACATGAGTATTAAAGGTGACATTTTACGGGTCCATAATGGTTAATGTTTCACAGTAAATCTGTTGCTATTTTTAAAATAAAACGAAATCAAACTGAATTTTTCCATATAATGTATAGCCTGGTAAAAAAGTATTGAGAAAAAAGTTTACTTTCAGGACGAAATGTTGTTCACACCTCGTTTCTACGTCGTGATTTTTTATGATTTTTCGAAGAGTGAAAAAAAAACACATTTTCATCAGTTTTCATTGTCTTGGCGCAACTATAAAGCAAAATACATGTGACATCAGGAGTCATCGTGAGAAACTATATTGAGTTCAATGCATTTTAGAAAAGTATTTTTCCGACGAAATGCTAGTTCTTGGAAAACCATAGAAAAAATCTTTAGCAAAATACAGCCCTGAAGGAATCATAGGTGATTTTTGCGCAGGAAAAATACTTCTCTCAAATGTATTGGACTCGATATAGTTTCTCAGGGTCACTCTTAATGTCACATGTATTTTGCTTTATAGTTGCGCCAAGACAATGAAAACTGATGAAAATGTGTTTTTTTTTCACTCTTCGAAAAATCATCAAAAATCACGACGTAGAAAAGAGGTGTGAACAACATTTCGTCCTGAAAGTAAACTTTTTTCTCAACAGGTTTTTATCAGGCTATACATTATATAGAAAAATTCAGTTTGATTTCATTTTATTTTAAAAATAGCAACAGATTTACTGTGAAACATTAACCATTATGGACCCGTAAAATGTCACCTTTAATACTCATGTTAGCATATATAACTTCACTAAATAGATGATATACAGTGTTTGAAAGAGTTCACTCTACTTAGCTTTTCATGTTCTATCTTTTGATACATCACATGAAAAAACGCTTTAACTTGTTGACGTATAATCCTAATAGACACTTGTGAGACAATTTATTACTACCACATGGACAAGTAGGTAATTAGTGTTACAACGTCGATCTAGTCTAACTTTACTAAAGAACATCGAAATGAGTTGAAAATCAGAGTTTATTTCTTTCATGAGCTGTCTCTTCATAAACCTGCTAGAAAAATCATGTTTTCCAGTTTCATGAGCATTAGTGGAATGAGTATTTTCTGAAAATGATCTTTTAGTGAAATCAGGTCATTCAATCAATATTTGGATTTTAACATCATTGAAGTACAATGAGATATTCATTTAAATGTTACTAAATATTTTGTTTTAGTAAACAAATTTAAGTTAAGGTTATTGGTTAGAAAAATTAATGTTTCTTTTATTGCTTTGTAGTACTATATGAAAGAGAATAGATTATTTCACTCCCTTTATTTTGTTGATAAGATTATAATATTTCTATTATTTTATTCTATGTAGGAATGTTCTTATTGTGTTTTTGTTCATAAAGACTAGAAACAAGATATCGTGTCATGAAAAGCTTACTCTTAAGATTCTTCATAAAAATTCACAGAAAACGAAACCATGTAGACACAACTTGACTTCCCCAACTCTCATAGATTATCGGTCGGATAACGGCTATCAATATGCCGCGAGCAGCTAAGCAAAAAATAAATATTACCAAATAATCAATCAAAAATCTTTTCTATCATAAAAGTTTCAATAAATATTGAAGTATTGAAAAATCCAACTATTCTTTTCATTGTGAATATTCGTCTCTGTTCTTGTACATTTGTGTTTCTTTATACGTGATGATGATGATACAGTAAAAATACTTTTCAATTACTTATTAGAGAAGATTAGAGATTTCAGGATTGTTGAAAATAATTAAACAAATTCCTATTTAAAAACTTAAAATGATCTAATTATTAGTTCAATTCTTTTTTTTTGTATGCAACACAATACTGTATCTTTCCGTTAAGAAAGAACGTGTTCTGGATTTAATTTATTTATTCGAAAACTGAATGCAATATGAATTCATACTTCTTTCATTATGAAAAAAAAGAAAAAAAAACAAACATTCTGTAGTAAAACATTATTATTTTTATTCGTTAATCATCCATAAAATGTTCTTGAACGTGCTGAGATCGATCAACTGATGCCATATTTTGTGGAAATATCATAAAACATGTAGGACATTTTTCAAGCAAGTCAGAAACTCTCGCATCAGAAATATTCTGATCATTGCCATGATTCGACGGAGGTTTGTACACGTTTACAAGATTCGTCGTCGATGGTTTTGTGCTACAAAAAAAAAGAAATTAATCTTCATATCACAGATAAATTCATTCACATATAAAGTTACTCTGGTTGTTGCGCATCTGCAAATGTCGCTGTCGAATATGAGTCTTCTTCGTACTTATCATCTACTGAGGAATTTTGTGTTGAGGTCTTGTTTCTACGTTCAATAATTTGGAAGTCATCTAGCTTAATATTTACTGATTCTCGTTGTGTTACTCGAAGCAATTCAACAGATTGTTGAGTATATTCCAATGCGGCTAATTCAAATTTCAAAGCCTTACAACGATCAAGTAATTGATCAATTTGCTCAGCCGTTTTCACCTCCTCGCGTATATATAGTTCATCAATAAATAGCTTATATTGTTGTTTCAAATAAAGTATTTCATTGTCATACTCTTGCTCGAGACGATCCATTTGCTTAGAAACATATCGACGAATTTTTTCAAAAAAGGTTTCTTTCCATTCATTGAGCTCATTCAACATCTTTGATTTTTGATCAGACAAAGCCTTCTCATAATGTTGAAATAATGCATTTATTTCTTTTTCTGGTTGGGTCTTCAGAAATGTATAACCAAACAGTGAAAATCTCGACATTAAAAAGCCAATAAATATCAATAATAATAATCTAAAATTGTTCACAATAGATATTCATTTATAAAAAAAAAAAAAAAACTTCTGAAGAAAAAACCTAAGAAAGTATTTGTTGAATGCATTAATTATTTTTCATGTGATGCATATGCATTTCAATCAATTGGATTTTTTTTCTTTTTGAATCATAAAAAAAGAAAGAACAATATTAACTAATAGGATGCTTGTAGTTCTGCTCATTTTTTATTTCATCTGTTTCGCTATATATATATATGCATACATTATGTTTAACATTAATTATGGAGCAAATTTGTTTCCTAATAAAAAGAATAACGAACTAAAACACAATCAATTCCTCGATTATATGAATCATCAACATTAATACATGAGCACGTAGACTGGATTAAACAATACCGAAAAAAAATCGAAACATATCGTCCAAACATCTGCATTAACCCTTCAAGTAGCTTTTCAAGAACGAAAAGTTCAGAAAATATGTCAAATTCTCGTTATCATCAAGTATAATATATCTTATGTAAAGATAAAGAATAAGTATACTTTCATATCATGTAAGCAATCTTTTTACAATAGAATCTCTTCAAAGAAGCATATATATACAGCAATGAATCTATTTGATCAATAATAATAGAGTTTGAATGAAACCAATTTTGATGCTTAAGTCATTATGTTGATCGTTATTTTCAATATTCTGAGTGATTGCTTAGTAAATACCAAGCAAAAACATCCAAATAGAAAAGAACACAGGTCGAAGAAATATTTATTTTCTATGGAGGCAACTCTGTCAAATTTGTAATGTTTTCGTTGATATTTCAAAATAGTGTTGTCAATATAGAAATATACAATTTAGATGTAGTATAATACTTCCAACTAAAGAAAAATATTGGAAAAAAAATAAAGATACCGAGAAAACCAAAATATTTCTATAAGATACATATACTTTCATAAAATGGATGTGTTGTCATAAAGCAATCCTAAAAAGAAACGAAATTTTAGACAATTTAGACAGTATACTTTGAAAGATAAGTATAGTAATTATTCTACTACACATTTCTTAGGA